CGCCGGGACGGGGCCGAGGCGGCAGCCCCCGCGCGCAGCCCGCCGCCCCATCGCACGCGTTTTGCCGAACGGCGCCCCGATTTCCCTCGCGGCTGCGTCCTCCGAGCAAAGGAGCTGCCCGCGAGGAGGTACCGCCGCGCTGCACGTGAGGAGGAGGAAGGAAGAGCAGTTCAGTATCTCCATCCCCCTGCAGCACCCAAAGCTGGGATGGGACAGAGCAGACACCTCCAGGACCCTCAGAGAAAGGCATGGAAAGCCTTGGAAAGGGGTGCTGCTTGCTTTCCCTCTAACACATCCCCCAAAACGTGCTCCACGGTTTCGCTACATAGCTTCATCCTCCTCCATCCCTGCAGCCAGCTGGAGCTCCTGCCCGGGGTCACCAACCCCTTCCCCATGGGGTTCAGCCTGCGCCGCTGTTCCCAGGATTCAGGACATCATTCTTCCTTCACTCCTCCTCCTTCCTTACCAAATCTCGAGCGGGCTCTTCCAGAGAAAGGCTTTCGTTCTGCCCTGTCGCCTTTCAGACGAGATGCAAAAGAGGCTTCAGGGCCGCACTGGCTATCAGAGATCCCTCAAGCTTCTCCCTCTCCCCGTAATCATCACCGAGTTAAAAGTCAGCTTGGGAAGATGAACAACCTGCCTGTACAAAGGAGAGCACGTAGGAGAGCACTAGCTCCCATTCAATTAGCGGATATTTCAAATAGGTCCGTAAGAATTCAAATTATTCAAAATCCTAATAATAATAGTGATTTACCCTAGTAATCAAATTAACACCCAAGCCACACTTTTACTGTCTCCCCGACCTGAGACAGGGCAAATTACAATTTGTACTAAAAAAGGCCTGGGGCTCACCTGTCCTTCAGGAGAGATGGGCACAGGGAAGGCATCCTGGTGCCCCAGAGCAAAGGGCAGCACAGATAGCAGAGCAGCATGGCCAGACACTCTCCTGCAACATGATAGCTTTTAAAGTCCTGTTCAGTAGAAGGTGTCCCAGGTCTGCGAGGAGACTTTGAAGGCCTGTTCCAAGCCAGCACCCTGAGGCCGTTGCTGCTGGCCTGGTGTTAAAAGCTCGCTCAGTGTGAGCACGGAATTTCATCACTGAGCCGCTCCATCTCCCCAGGCAATCTCAGTATCTTGCTCAGCCCTGCTCAGACATTCCCCCTACTCACACACTGGCTGCAAGTCTTTGGCAGGGCTTTAGGAGCCCCCATTAACAGATGGTCAAGCAGCCCTGAGATGCAGCATTTCTCAGTACCTTTTAGCACTCTTACCACAAACATCTTTCTCCTTCTTAGGTTGAGCTCTGTAATAAAGCACCAAGAAGGCCTCACTGAAGCTGGAAGCTGCTAAACCTCACCAAGGTAGCCTGTGCATTCCCCACGCTTTCCACGAGAGGACAGGAGGAACAGCAAACCCTGCCAAATAAAAGAAAAAGGTCACTTTAAAAGATAAACCTGTGCGTCATGGGGCTGCTGGGAAGTGGAAGGCATTATCACCCCATCTGAAATCCAGACAGCTCCATGGAAGCCTAACAGAGCTACTATAAATCAAGAGCCTCAGAAAAACCTCGTCAGCAATGTCCAGAGGGGCAAGGCTCTGCGGAGCTGCAGGGCGCTGCAAATATCCTTCTAAGAAAGGGAGATTTGTGGTCACAAATGACATGGAGGGGTGAGCCAGGGACTGGGACGCAGTAGGGATCGTAAGCCAGAGGGAAACCTTATTGCAGTACGATAGCCAGCAGCCAAATGTCTTCCCACACGACATCTTTATCCCACATGCTTCCAAGAGGGGATATGAAGGAAATTAGCCATTGACAAAGCATTTTGCTGGTAGTTTATTTGCCCATATTGCATTTGCCCACTGAATCACCCCACATCTGCACCTTCAGCATTACCGTGCACGCAAGTGCCAATGTCTGCTCCCTGACTTTCTCAACCAGTGCAAACAACTGGTTTCCATTTCTTAATTACCTTGTTTAAGCATTCGGAGCAAGCACGGGTTTGGTAAAAGCATCTAAAATTAGTGCAGCCTCAGGAGTGAGTTAACACAGGCTATTGCCGCTTCCCATGCCACAGGGAATCTCGGAGTAGCTGTAGGCCATGGCACTACACGCGGCATGAGACCGCAACAGCTGGTGATTATCCAGCACAGCTTATAAAAGGGCTTCTTGTGAAAAGGAACAGGCGCCCTTACGCCCGCCTACAGCCTTAATCACTTGATATCCCTGCTGACAAAGCCAGCAGGAGCTATGGCACCAAGCACGGTTCTGCAGCTGGATGGCAGGGCCAGGCAGCTGTGGCTCCGATCAGCTCAGGGGGTTCTGTACCACCACCTGAGCCAAGAACAGTGCATGTGAAGCAGGGGTGGAAAGATCACTCCGCTGTGGAATTGACACCCTGGGTATCCTCCATCCACCTCTATGCTCCGGCCTGTCCTCAACACTCACCCTTCCCTGTGTCCTTCATGTTCACACAGGAAAGCGAGCAGCACACCTGGATCTCACAAGCCTGGGCTATGCATTTGCCATCACACCACCAAGGCTCTTAGACTGTTACAGCTCATTCTGCAAGGATAAGACAGTTGTAGAGCAGTATTAGGGCTCTACACTACTTGTAAGAATTTCTGCCTTGATAGGCAAAAAAATGGTCTCCCCACATCCAAGCTGACAAAGTCATCCATTAAAAATACCATTCAACCTGCACACAAAACCACAGACATCCATGCCTTTGGGAGTCCAGGAAACACAGGTGGTGTGTTACGACCTCCAGATCCAACCAGCAAGTCTAAGAGACTTACTTGCCCAAGGAAGGCCAAAGACAGGGTCTGTGCATGACTCAAGAGAGACTTGGCAGCGCCTCACAACAAGCACCCTACGGCAACAGCGACTCAGGAGATGCACCAAATTGACACCAGGTAGAGAAGCCAACATAGCTATGGGAAAATGAGAAGGGAAGAATCCTGCAGTTTGTGTCACTCTACTTGTGATATGGCTAGGAAGTAACAGGGTTGCAGCACTCTACTTCAGGGCATGTGAATACAGTTTAGACTGTGTGAAAAAAATCTCTCCTATTGGTGTTCTTACAACAGTCCTCATAACCATGGAATCCGAGTGTCTTCCAGAAACATATTCATCAACATGGATTTCATTTGTCATATGGAGGTTATTCACCCTCCCACAGGGTCTAATTTGGCCTGGAGAACTCGGTTTATCTGCTGATGTAGGGAGAAAAGTATTAATAAAAGTTTGACTTTCAAACCTTACTTGAGTGAAGGAATCAGGCCTTTTTCATTTACAGTGTTTCAGCTTGGTTTGTTGGTCAAGCCTGCAATAAACATGTCTTGTGGCTACGTTACAACTTAAGCCTATAGAAGTACAGCTCCCCAGCTGGTGAACTAATAAATGCAATGCAAAGTAGCATTATAATATAAGCAATATATTAAAATGTTTTTTACAGTTTCCTCTGAACTAATGAGCAGCCAGCCAGGAAGCCCCATTCTTCGTCATTACACTCTCATTTCAGAGAGGAAGTGAATTTTGAAACCAAGATGCTTTTACAGATGGGCAAAAGCGATTAGCTTACCTGGTTTAGCATTGGGCAAATCCTTCTTCAGCTTCCAGTGCTTCAAAGGCATTCGGCTGCATTCCCCTACAGGCCATCACACAACATCTAACAAAAAATTAGCATAGAAGGAGGAGAGAGCAGAGGTCTTTCTGGGAAGCAATCCTCCAAGGGAGAACCACTGGGAAACAGGCAGTATCTAGAAAGATCTCCAGTAAATGCTACTGTATTCTGGGGGGAACAAAGTTCCCAAAGAAGTCAGACACTTCAACTTTCCTTTTGCATCATTCCTACGATTGGTTTCCATAGTGATCTTTCCAGTTAACAGCAACGAGAGATGTGAATGTGTCCTGGGCAGGAACAGCTCGAACTCCTCAGTCATTCTCCCGTCACTGCCTGATTAAGTGAACCTCTACCTTCGTATTCGTTCTCCATAGTCAGGACTCCAAAAACATCCATTAACAACTGAGGATTCATTTATTTATTTTTTTATATATATATATAAAAAAGGTCCTTCAAGATAGCATTTACAGCACAAAAGCTAGAACTAATCGAGAACATCATGACAGCGTTACTGAGAAGCATGTCTGAATGGTGAATGAGCTTTTATTAAAACACTTTTAAAGCATGAAGTGTCTTTCTACCCGCCTCTTCTCCACCATTTTTTCTTGCCTCGCCAACCTGACCACAACCCTGACCACAGCTCCAACCTGTAGACAGTACATCTACAGGCAAGTCCAAAGGCCCAAACCAGTCATTACATTTACTCAGCAATGAACAAGGTACAAGTGAATAATGATAGAACTGTATCAAACCTGCTTTCAGGTTCTGGAGACAGTGAGAAAAAAAAAAAAAAGGCCACTGGGCTGCTGTTTACTGAGAGAGCAACTATGATAGTCAGCCTCAGTGAGATCCATCAGCATACTCAGCATCTGCACAATAAAAGTTGGGGGGATGTGGCAAGTGCAGACCAAAGAGCATTGCTAATTGAATTAGAACATGAAGTCTGCTCCTTTAGGGTCCCACAGAAATAATTCTGTCCTCTTTAAACATTCAAGCATTGGCAGAACTTACCCTCAAAGTCTTTGCATAGCAGTGGATTAAAAGATGACTCCATTCTGGAATCAACACAAGACAAGCATAATTTCCTGAGACTTTGGAACAAAGTTTTGCGTGTTGGAACCAATGACTTCAAATTTCAACAGTCTCTTCCAGAGAATTATAAACACTGGATGCTCTGCACTCTGCATGAGCGTGAACTGACCTGATGACAACCCGCAATTCCAAAGTGGAATGAGTGTGAGTCATCTTCACTAGCACCCTTCACGGAGAAACCAGGCGAAGGATAAATGGAAATGCTGTTGGAGGACTGAGGAGACCACCTGCCTCTTCCTTTATAACCTAGCCATAAAGGATCTCATACTTAGAAGGCTTTGAAAAGCTGCATTCTTGCCAATTTCATCTGTAATTCCACAGGCTCACTCCTCTGGGGAGAAAAATAAAACAACCTTGTGAAGTTCTACAAGACCTACCTCCTGCTCCCCGCCTTGTGGGGAACAAGCTCAAGACCAGTGTAAAATACCCATACACAATCTTCAGATCACAAAGCCTAACATATTAAGTTCAAGTATACTTGAACTGAAACCACTTCTTCCCTAGGAAAAGGAAGAAAGCTATTTACTGTTGCCAATTGAGGAATTATGCCTATTATTTGCTAAAGCTCTCAAGTTAAATCCCTAACAGCTTACAGAACAGTGACTGCTACATAACTTGGTTAATTTTTCTTTTTTTTTTAAAAAAAGAACAAGATTAAACAAACTTTTGCTGCAGCCCTTTGTTTGCTTTTGCAGGTTTTACAACCTGCAGTTATCTTTACTTACATGAGGGTGGGAACTCAACTAGTTTAAATGCAGAGCCTCTACCTTTCTCTATCTGCCTTGCATCTGACTACTGGCCTCTATGTTTCTGTTAGGGAACAACACACGGGCAGTGCGGACACTTAAATAAAAACAACTGTCACATATTATCTGAATGCAAGAAGACTCCCATGGATACCCTGAGGCATCAGGAGGGCCCTTCAGCTTTATTTGGAGAGTGTTTTTCATCAGTTGAAAGCCTAAATGTACTTTTTAAGAAGCTAACTGGCTTTAAATGAGCACTCAGTAAGACAAGATCTTGTCACACTGACTCCAACACAGCTGAATTTCTTATCACCTGCAAAAAGAAAGTCTTTTCATATGCATATGAGAGCAACTAGCGAGAAACCTCAGTACCAGGGAGCTTTAGCATCCTCTGATTCAGCAACATACAAAAGCAGGTTTCTAGCCCCAAAGGAGCAATCTAAAGGCACAGCAGCAACTCCCATCCAAACTGGTCCCAAGGAAAACAGTTACTTCAAGGCGCAAAGAAGTAAAAACAGATTTTGAAAGGTGGAAAGCTCTAAAGCTCTAAGCAAATATGAAAGCTCATCTATCACAGGCATACACTGTTGTAACGCTTTAACCCACTCCTAAAATTTCTGAGGCCAGACCAGATACAGCCTTCCAACATATTAGATGATGTTTCTGTATTTTTTAAAACATTATTTTTTATGCTACTCTGAAGTCACATTTTCTGATTGTCCTCTGTCTCTGGGGTAGTATACAGCAGCTACTTTAACAGCATGTGCTACCACAGGACAGGACAGTTGCAAGGGGATTATGTCTCAGGTAATTTAGTGTAGTCCCACTGACTTCCAAGGGAATCACATTGCTTCCCATGAATCGGGATTTGATTCACTACATCCCAATGGAAATACGTAGGGTAATCAGCGCAGCTGGGACGCAGCCATCACCGAACAGGTCAGCCAATGGGCTCAAACAAAAAGGTCCGTGAAATTCTTAACTAAGTGTCAGCATGTCTGCCTTGCCCAATCTGATCTACCACTAGTGTCTTTCTTTGAATTAAAACGTTATGGACACCTTAACTGCATAAACAATTTGGTAGGAGGAACACACGAAAAACACCGTTTGCATACACGAAGCTTTCCTCAATGTATTTTCCTGTTTATACACTATGTGTGTCACTCCTTCGTGACAAAGAAATGAAACCATCATTTCTATCATCAAGAACCACAATCTGTTCCATCTTTTGCCACTGTGAAGCTAGCTGAGTGTCTAATCAAATATCATGCAACTATGCAGTATCTAATGCAGTTAAGGAGCCTCCCCAGGCACGGCTTACCAAAAGCTGGTGGCCTCGTTTCCATTATCAACCCATCGCTGTTCAGCTAGAGGGGCTAGGAACATTTTATAGGTACATCTGGTTTATTTCCATTTTGATTCACGAACTTGGCATCTTTTCTAGCACCCGTGAGCATCGACAAAAGTCCTTTTGCATATGTTATAGGAGGGGAAATCTAATTTCCCAACACAATAAAAACAAGTATGTTCTGATTAGACTCTCCTGGTTAGCACAGGAGGGCAGCAAATCATGCAGACAGCAAACGGAAGCCACAATCCATCTACTCTTTCAGGTACTAATAGTGTCCAACTTTACAGCTCTTACTAGTTACCTTATGAGTTCTTATGCTTTCCAACAGAGAATTTAAGTCCAGTTTCCTCAGATGCAGTCCGTATGAACAGTGAACACGGTTCCTGCAACAACAGTCCATATGAACTGAGTTTCCTCAGTCCATATGAACAGTGAACACGGTTCCTGCAACAGTTGCTACAAACTGATTCGATGTTTATTTTTTTTTGCAATACAAAACAGTACAAATCGTTTTTCTACGTTGAAATTGGAAATAAAAAACAAAAATTGTTAAAAACAATTTATAATAAATATAAAACAATTATGCTAATCAGGTAATCATAAATATATTATGAACCAAATACTTCCAACCTGTGTTTACTTAGAAGTGCACAACACTACAAACCGCAGCCATTTACTTAAAAGACTTTCATTCACGTTAAAATCCTGATCCTTAAAGTACTTATAAATATGGCTGATTGCATTAGTACAAAAATGACATTATTACATATCACAGAGCATATGCTGCACAAGCGTTTACTGCATTATCTGTTTCTCAATCTCCTTTACAGAGGAAGCCACTAAATTTATTGCGCGCAAAACACCTTTGCTTGAGCACCAGATCCTTATCAGTTCCATGGTACCTTCCTCCCCAAGACACGGTTGGTGATTTTCTGTAATATAAAAACAAAATGAAAGATGTCAGTAGCAATCCTCTAAGAATAAAATTATTAAGTATTAAGATATCATTGACAAATTTTCTAAAGAAAAATGAAAAAAGAGATGCAGAGAAAGGTAACAAAAATGACAGACAATATCAAAAGTGTTTGATACAATAAGTGAATGAATAAATTAGGACTCTCTGCCATGGTAGAGGATGAAGGGGGAGGCATGATCGAAAGGGAAGTGATGAAGGGCTACGCAATCATAAACAGCCTGAAAAAGGAGAAAAAGAAGTGTGATTCACCAACTTTTTTAAAAAAGAAGAAAAAGTTAAAAAAAGGGGAAGGAAGTACTTTAACTGGTAAGGGCTTCCAAGAAAAAAAATAAAAAAATAAATAAATAAATAATAAAGTTTTGGTATGAAGAGTTGCAGTCTTTTGTAGTTAAATTGGGCAAAATGCACAGTCTGCTCAATGATGTTAGAACACCAGGAGTTAACATTTCATAGAGCAAATGGATAAATCCATGGAAGAAAAAAAATATATGTATATATATAAATGTAACATATCTGAAATTGTCTCAGCCCCTCAGTTGTGAATCACATGAGATTCCTGCGGTGCTTCAGGACAGCGCCGCTACCCAGGGGCTCCCTTATCACGTTTCTCCCTAGGCACCTGCGTTCCTGTCACGACAGGCATTCCAAGTTATGATATATCCCAGCATCCTGCTCGCTCAGCCAGCAGCCCACAAAAGTTTTGAAGCACAGCATACATATCCCTTGGCTTTTAAAGAGTGTCATATAAAGCGATGGCATCACCCAACTCATCTGGTACTAATAGCAGAGGGAATGATATGGCCTCTTGCATCACACAGGAGCAGCAGATGAAGACATCTTGCAGCTCATGTATAGATATAAACCCGGGCACACACATACGTGCTGCGTACTCTGTGTATATCTGCTATATAGAATATATATATTTATATTCATATAAATGCAATTGAGTTTTCTGCCTCCAGAAACCCATGCTTTTCCCTTTGGGATACTGACACCTAGTGGCCCATCTTGCATGTGTTCTCCCAAGGAGATGTTCCAGCAATAACAGGAATAATGTTAATACTAGAAGTGCTCACTGCTCCTGAATGCTAGCACTCTGTTTTTCTCTTTTCTAGGGTAGGGGAAAATACATAAGTGATCCCTTTATGGAGGTTTCTCCCATACTGCCTATTTACAAAAATGGCGAAGTAATCACACCCAAGGAAAAAGCCCCAGTGAGCGACTGGGGACACAGGCAGTCCTCACTGCTGTGATGGAAATTCACTCCCTCTCTCTGAGCAGGCTTTATCTAGACAGATGCCAAACAATTTTGGAAAGCATTGTGCTCTACTAGGTTTGTGAAAGGTACAAAAGAAGCCCTCAAGAAAGGCCTGCTCTAGACTATTGAGCTGCTGTTCCAGACCAGGTGCTCACAAGGTCACCCCTGGCAAGCGTGACCATCCCCAGCAGCAAGACCCATCTGACCCATCTCTGCAAGGACTGCGCCCCTGCCTGAACCAGCTTGAAAACTATTCATGACACCAAAGTGACACCTAGGGAACAACCCTAAATCACCTATGTTACTAATCTACCTCTTGCCAAGGCAACAACAAATAAACAAAACCAGCTTTCTTCTCCTAATACTCTGCAATCTCTGGAGCTATTTCACAAAATCTGTATGTTTGTTCTTGTACAATCATCCACGCAGAAATCGATGCCCACAAGAACACATTAATAAAATTCCACACAAAACATTCCCTATATCCATAGCTATTCACTACAGCTGCTCTCTCTCTATCACCAAGGAAGATGACAGAAGATGACAATATTCCCTTCGATGAATCACCATCCCCCTTGGGATCAAAACCACGCTAGTATAAAAAACTTCCTATCAGATTCCTTCTCTTCTTCCAGCTGACTGTGCTACCTCGAGCTACCATGCAGCAACCCTTCCTTCCCCAGACCCTTCTGCACTGGCACCCGAGACCCTCAAGCTCGTAACAAAGGTTCTGAATGCACCCTGGAGAGTCTCTAGTTCAAGGATTTCTAGCAATAAGCACCCGCAGCCAGATTAGGCAGACACTCTGGATAATACTTTGTGCTACAAACCCTCAGCTTTTAATATCTCATTACTGCTGCTCCGAGCAAATAACTAAGCCCATTTACTCCCGCTCTGGTGGGAATATCTCAGCCAGGAAAGAGCTAATTTTTCATAATTCCATGTGACCACAAGGTGAAAATATTCCAGAGAAAGCTGCTTGCCAGAACACTTGCCGTTTTGTAAAGCTGTGCTTTTAGCCGGTATGATTTGTATTCTGACTTTCTCTTCTCTTCCTCTCGCTTCTTCTGCACTTCTGGCAGCTGCTCGTAGATCCTTAGGGTAGATACAAAAAGTCAAAGACAGTGACTGGGAAGAAAGGAATTTATTAATATAAAAACATTCTCTGTTTTGTCTTCACGTTCTGCTAAAGGATACCAGCCAACCACATTGGAGAAAAATTCAGCTAGGGGCTTACAACTATCACAGAGAAAGTGTGGAATACACAACAGTTGTGTTACTGGAAATTCTCACAACCCATAATGCCTTTTCCTTACTGCAGCACTCTTCTAAAAACAACATTTAGGACATTAAAATGACCATAAAACTGCTCTAATTACCTGTCTGCAAAAGATAAAGATTCAATATCAGCAATACAGAATAGTCCTACTGTTTAGAGGATGTGTTGATTCTGAACAACATGTTTATTCATAAATAGTAATACATTTGGCAGAGGAATAAACTAATTTAAGAATCTTTTATGCCCAAACATCGCTGCTCTTAGACCAATATTTTGCCTTCTCCACAGCTGAAGAAATGCTCCCATGCCAGAGGCAAACAAAAGACGCTTTGAACTCAGTAGAAGGTGAGCAGTGCTCAGCAGGGAGCAAGGACATTACTAGGCTCTTTTACAAGCTACCATCTGAAGGAGGAGGTAGCTCGCAAGGCTGGCAACATCGTGCTCACATTCTCTTCCCCATAACTTCTAGTGCTTCCTTTAATATCAAAAAGCTTTTTAGTTTCATCGCAGTCATTACCAAGATCCACACAACTTCAAAAAGACTGTGGTTTATGGGAAGCCAAAGCGAATCACATTGAAAAATGCCAGCCCCAGAACACTCAAGAGATCATACTCCTTTCTTAACCTACAGATTTGATATTCAGCAAATGGAGCAAAAACTACTGCAGAGTGTATCTTTGTAGTGCTGTATCTTTTAAGAGACCATTTTATTCTTCTGTCAATACGATATCATCCATTGCACAGTTACTGTTGGCACTTTAAATAGTTTAAACACATCTATGCCATCAACTTGTATTATATGAAAGTGTTTCAACACATTCCACTTTAAAAATTGCAAATCAATACAGCCCACTAGCCAGGAGCAAGGAGGGCAGCTTTGACAGTCATCTTGATGCTAATTCCAGCAGGAAAGTGAGTCGAACTGGCAAGATAAGTGAGGAAGGCAAACGTGTGCCAGTTTGCCCTGATTTACTGTTCAGTTAGTCCCCAAGTTGGGTGTCACTCACATGTTTCAATGGACAGAAGGACTAGAAATTAGCTGGAAAAGAAAGCAACAGGAAGGAAAAAGTTGCACATAACTAAGCAGCAGTGTTGTCTGCAAGGAATCAAGTCCAAGTCTCAACCAATTCCACTTCCAATCTAATTTCCCAGCATCAGCTGGAAAATCCATTTTCCCACACACACCTATTTACCGGTCCAGACTCCACTGTGGAATCCACGACTTTTTGTGAAAGAGCAGGCATTTATACCAGGAAACACTACAGAAGGCCACTCAATACTATACTTACAAGTATCTATACTTAGAATTACAATTATATGCTAAAATTCGGCATCTGAACTCTTTTCGGTGACCTACCTTCCTGCGCATCCCTGCTTTCCTACTCTGTCTGCAGCTGCTTTTAGGAGGCCACCTTTTCTAAAACTGTTACTGTCCACGTTACCTCTACAGAAAAGAGGAAACAAAGCACATTTTGAATGTTATTTTACTTGTCTTTCAATTTGCTGGAATGGCAGCAGAGGGTGTGAGGTCTTCAAAAGTGCTACTGAATGTGGGGCAAGGGGGAGAGATACCTGAAGATTTCAGGATTTGCTTTAGTACCACCCCACCGCTCTCTAAATGCTTCCACCACTCCGGGGCCCACCTCAGTTAAAGATCAACTCACTGATTCATCCTGTTTTTATTAGTGCTAGCTAATTTGCCATAAGACTCTCCATTTACTTTCCTCCACTTAGAGGAAAAATAAAAAGCTCCTGCGTGCGGATGTCAAAAGGATGGTACAGAATAGATCACTTCTCAGCTCCAACCGCGAGCTGGAGTATGACAGCAGCATAAAAAAAGCCACAGAGTGTGACTGCCTGAATCAGTCTCCATAGAAATCCCGCTGATTTTGGTTTTCTGAAATCAGAGGTCCTGAAAACACAGGAGCTCAGATAACATCAATCATATGATACAAATAACCTGACTCAAAAATCTTTCCCTTTCAGTTAAAAGGTGTGGATATGCACTCTTCACAGAATTTGCATACATCTCTCTTTTGTCATCCATTAATGTTCTAAAAAGCCTTAAATACCAAATACTGCTGAAATCAAACATCCTGTTTGGACTCTTCTACCACATAAACCATTAATTAAGCGGTTTATTTTATATATTACATATTCCAACATATATTTTCTAGGTTCACAGAATAATTTTGGTGGAAAGGGACCTCTGGAGACCAGCTAGTCCAACCTCCTGGTCAAAGTAGGCCAACTTAAAAACAAAATCAGGTTGCTCAGGCCTTGTCCAGTCCACTTCTGTCTCCAAGGACAGAGATTTCACTACCACTGCCAGTCCCTACTCAGCATTTAACCCTCCCTTTTTGTGAGGAACCAATTTCCCTGCATCCAGTCAGAATCTTCCCTTCCTGTAAGGTGTGACTGTTGCTACTCATCTTTTCACCGTGCAGTTCCCACAAAGGTTGACCTGTTCTGGGAAAAGACTCTATATTTTTCACTCTCAAACTTCATGGCATAAACTTCATGATAGAAATTTCTATCAGCCACAGTAGTGTCCCTTGCACATACCCTTTCCATCCCATGTCCTATCAGTTCAAGAAAGTCCCAATGCTTATGCTGCAACCCAAATTTTACACACTCATTGCCTCAGGGCATGTTCTTGGCCTTTGCTGCTGCTTTGACTCTAACTCACATTACAAGCCATCAGAGACAATTTCAGAAGCTTCTGACCTGAAGCCTCCAAACCTCTTCCTTTTGCCTCCTCTATCATTTCATAACCCAGTTGTAATAAATCCACCCCCCTTTTTTTTTCTTTTTTTTAATTTTACCTTCACTTATCACCTTTGCAGAGGCAGTGCTTACACTGGCAAGTAAGCACTGTGTTTTATACACAATTGCTTCCATCGAACATTAAGATACAGGTTAGCAGAAGGCAGTTTTCTTCAGAATTAAAAGCCTCCAAATTCCTTAATGGGTAACTATTTTTAACATAAAGCTACTTCATTTCCAGAAATGATGCCTCATTTCCAGCACCGATTACCTAGTGTGTTAAATATAGTGTGTTATGTTTGACCATACACATGCACTAGCAGCCTGTATCCTATCTGTCTTCTCCCTTTGGGATCCACAATTTGGACAGCTGGCTGTAGTGTCTAGATTGCAAATACTGAGCAAAATATGCAGCTCTAGTTACAGAAATTCTTTTTTTTTTTTTTAAATAGTCTTGTTTCTATGATTTTCTTAGCACATTTTCTTCCTCCAATAAAACACCGACGTTGTGGAGAAGCTGACTTATCCCTAGTGCACAGTTTTTCACTTGCAAAGACAATGCACCTATCTTTTCTGCCCATTTATTCAGGTCACTTATTACCCAAAACAAGATTTTCTTAACCTTACCTTTTGGATCTTTGAACCATTTCACTCTTTGTAATCGTTCTTCTCTTTTGGCTGGTCAGATAGCCTACATGTGACATTTTGAGATAAGAGAACAGTAAATGAGTCTACTCCTCGCTAAGAATACTACTGCAACAAACTTCCTCCTTTTTAAGGCATGGATTCTTACAGACAGTAGAGGTAAACAACGCTAATTTTATTATAAAAATACATATCTTTAAGCATACATAGGAAGTTCATTAATTCCTAGAGAATATAAAAAAGCATAACCATGAAGTACCTCTTTCAGAGAGCAGGCGACTTGCATTCCTGTGGCCTGTTCTTTTCTCAGGAGGATTAAAAAGCTGTTCTCGTTCACACTGCAACACACTCTGCATCTTCCTCTCCTCCATGACCAGCTTCAGGTGCTTCACGCGCTCTCCAGAGCGGGAGATGAAATCGGGGCGACGCAGTGCAAGAGCCTCCTAAGACCAGATGACACAAAACAGGCTAGATTGGCCATGACTTCCCTTTCAGGCTGGAAGAGGTTAAGCAAAATATCAAAGCACTGGGGAGGAGGAGGAAACACTTCAAAGGAGCATTCAGTGTAAAATACAAAATCTTGCATCTTTAAGGCTGGCTGGGGTATCTTAACATCAAAGTATTTGTCAACAACCTGGAAACTAACTAGATGTGAAGAAAAGAAAAAAGAAAAAAAATGAGGGCAGCTAAAATAATTAGCCATGGGGACACAAGCTCCTCATAAGAGCACAGTGAAGTTCAGATAGGGCTGGACACACAGAACAAAAGTGCAGTGATATGTTACAGCCTCCGTCACGCTAAGGCAGAGACCATGTCAGTATACACACTCTTTGCACTGTATGAATTAAATCCCATTTTAATCACACACTATTTACATCGTACAGGAATACTCCTGCAGGGGAGCAAATATAACTTGAAACTATCTCAGCTGCATTCTCTCTAGTTCCTGAAGTTGCTTGATTTAAGCCCTGAAGTACCAGATCAAGTCACATACATTATCACACCGTGCACAGCCAGGTTACCATAAGCAAACAAGACTGACAACTTTGTTTTCTTTTTCTTTTGAACATTAGTGGGCTCTAACTTGTTGACTCTCAATGATAACAAAAGTGGAAACAAATAAATAACTGAAAAAAGGACTGAAACTTCTTTCCAGAAGGTTCAGCTTTGTTCTTAGAACTGCAGAGTGACCCCAGCAGCCTGTACCTGCAGCGTCAGCTTCACAAAGGGCTGTGGGGCCCTGTTCTCAGCATCCCTTTCTGGATGAGACGGCTGGTTCATGCTCCTCTGCTGCTGTTCCTGCCCGTTCTGCTCCCGGAGAGGCTCCCGCAAAGGCTTCGTGCTAGTCAGTGGTTCAAACCAAGAGGGACCCGGGCCAGAGGAGGGATTGGAACAGTTTTCTTTCTTGGATTCGGGTTGCAAATCCTCCACTTGGACAAGCCAGGAAGCTCCTATTAAAGACAAAACAAAAGCAAATGAAGACTTGTAGGCAACACATTTCCTATTTGCCCTCCCCATCTCTGTCCCTTCATTCTCAAGATCTCGGCTAAATGCGATCAGTAGCTTAACACTGTAGAGGAGACTCCCTCCAGCAATTCCACTGATTCCAGTGGGACCCTGTATCCAGTGTCCTTGGCACGTTCAGGAAGGTCCCTTTGCCAAGGGTCAGAAACGCCCCAGGTCTTCACCAACCACCACTTTGGAAAGGCACAAAATGGCTTAGCTTGCAAACTGCTCTCTTTACAGGAAGAACAGCTATCAGCAGTAATACATATTTAAGGAATCTCGCTGACGTCCTAAACTCTGTCACTCTCTATAGATATTTCTGAAGGGCAAATGCTTTACATTTTCTGAGTGTTAAATATGTATATGAGAATCAGATTACTCACAGTTTACACACATAATGGGCTTTGAATACATCACCCAGTACTCTGAAGAGATATTCTAGGTTTTCTAAATTAAACTGATATGAGAGAGAACGATTCGTCCCTAACAGCAATGATGATTAAGGGTAAATATTTTAAAACATTTAGTTAGTATCTTTGGGCAGCGGGGGAGAAAGTAAAAGGGGAAAACAAAACACAAATAAATAAATACATAAATAAATACACATCAAAACAGGTGGCAACATTTCATCATTGTAAAAATTGCAAAAAAGCAATTCTAGCTAAAAGGGCAGAACAAGTCTAGTTCCTCCAGCACCATAATCTTTTTCTTACTCCAGCACTGCTTAAAAATGCTTGTTCTGTGTAACCTCAGTAGCTGAAATAGTAAGTCAAGCTACAAGATCTACATGATGACCATTTTATTTGTCTTTCTTCACTTTATTTATTGCCTCCTATTTACCACCATCACTGGTTAAGCCACATATAAAAACCAGATTGAAAATTCAATCATAGGGGAGAACGAAGAGAATCTTACTTGACAGAAGTGTTTTTGTTTAGAATTAATTGCAGAAAATAAAAAGGACTGCGACTACACCAGTAAGGGAGACCACTTTGTGTTCTAGCTAACCTTGACCTTGTACTTTGCTGGTTGCTGTTGAGATATGTGTCTTTTCCAGTCTATAGAGAAATGCTCTTTGGACTCACCTTGTGGCAAATGCAGCCTGCTCCTTTTCATCTTTTTCTCCATGAAAAGATTGCCCGTCTGTCCCTTCTGTTTACTCCTGCCTCCTGGTACCTGGCGATCTGTGACCGCACCAGCTGACTCTCCGAAAATACCAGGGACACAAAGGCAGGGTTCCTGTGGCCGTGTACTTGGTTGGCTAGATCTCGGAGTGGGAAAAGTCACACCAACGTCCCGAGTGTTCTTTTTAGTGGCACTGTTCACAATCTCCAAGTCTCCTGCAGTTCAAAATGAAGAAGTAATATCTTATTCTGGAGCAGCTGTGACAATATATTATATCACCCTCTCCTCCCTCAAAAAAAATTTCTTCCTCATTTTTAATCAAAATGAAAATGGCCACTGCCATAGTCCTTTATCTCCAGCCTTAATCAGCACTTTCTACCTTAGGAGACCTGACAGAAATAAAACATTCCTTGGAAGCATTTTAACATCAGCGTGTGTGACATGAATAATGTAGATAACAATTTTAAAGTGAAGGATGTGATGCAGAAAGACAAAATTTCTTATATTCCCGCTTCAAATTCAAACAAATTTACAGTGACCCAAGATAGCTACTATCTGATAATCTGAGTAAAACTGGATGGATGTCTATTTGGTTCCCTCTGAACAAGACAAGCACACGGGGTGGAAAGGAAGATATCAAACTTGAAACAAGTGTGTCCCTTGCTGGGAAAATAAGCAGAGGTCTGAAAATGCAACTTCTGAAAGACAACAACTATTACACAACTGCCAGGATAGAGCTGTATGGCTGCAGGCTTTTCTGGGTAGACTGGCAGGTCCAGAAATGCTCATCGAAAACTCAGCTTTATCTCCAAAACACAGGGCTTGTCCACGACACCAAAAACATTCAAAAGAAACATAAATCGAAGGTGTTAACTACTGTTTAGAAGAATCGTAATGCAACTTTGAAAGCAAGTAATGAAAATATTTTTCTGATGCAGCTCACTTGTCCATATCAACAATTCATTACTGCACTTTTTTCAAATATCTGATGAATAAAACAAAAGTATTATTCGACCCTATGATGGGAACTTGAGGTGTAAATGAAAGAAATGGAGAAACTGAAAACTACCACCAGAAGAAAAAGGCCAAATACAAGACTGCACTGATCAAGGACCAGCTCATGGCTTCAGTAGACTAGTAACATTCGTTATAATACGTACTCATCACCAGGAATGCACAGACTTTGAAGAAAGATTTCCAAAAAGATGAAAGGGAGAAGAAAAAACACACAAGTCTGGTCTGGAACCCAAAAACTCACCTGCTTGGATACCTTTATTTAACATCCGGATTCGTCTCTTGTTACTAAGAGCAGAGCTTGGTCCCCAAGAACTACTGCTAGTGGAAGCTGAATCAGGTGAAAAAGCAGCTGCATTCTAGAAAAAACAAAACAACACACACATATAAAAGACCGGAAAGTCCTAAAAATCTAACTGAAATGAGCCAAAAGTTAGTTTCAAACAGCAAGAAAAATCAAGATTAGGTATTTAACACAGGCTGATCAGTAATTCTTACCCAATATCCAGCCTTGACTTTATATACGCACACACTAATCCACTTCCAGCACCCAATCCTAGTAGAAAGGGGTTGCCTACGGACTGCACGTTGGCTGCAGGCAAGAGCCACCCTGGGTGGTCAGATTTTGGGAGCTGCTGGGCATCCTCCACTGGTCACGGCACAACCTGGGCCATCCCAACTACAGCATTTAAAAGACTGCTGGGTTACGGCAGGGACAGCCCATCTGGAAGCACTCACGTGGCTCTTGGCTCCCCAGGAATTTGAGTTCTGCACCATGGGCATGGAAAAACAAGGTCCATTGAAAGCACAACCAGTTCTGCCACTCTGGGTGATGCCCCCTGCGCATAGTTCACCAGGCAGAGAAAATTAAACTCAATAAAAACGAGAAATAGCAGCCATCCAGTAAGAGTGTGACTTCGGCTTCGCTGTTACACAGATTCCAGTTGCGCAGAGCAGACAGCATGACTAAGTTGAATCTTATGAGATGTAATGACTTAATAGCCACTTCCACAGTAACATATTGTGTCTGCAAGTGTAATGCACCTAGAGTCCGAGCTCTGCGTTTGGGCAGAGCATGAAAGGGCTAACGGGGCACAGGCCAATGCCTGCAACGCCGCCCCATTTCCTTCTTAATTATGAAACTGATCCTCCTCCTCCCATCACAGTAATTACTGTCCTATTAGAAACCCATAAAGCAAGCAATGATGGAAGGAACAGGGGCTTTTTTATTATCTTTTTACTGAACCTCTGCTTTTGCTGCTTCAATGCGAAGCAATTTCATTTCAACATTAGACAGGGGTAATTTCTACCCTCAAACATTCAGCCATTAACTGGTTTTCAGTTCTCTAAAACCACTGCAGCTCAGGTGCAGCACACTAGATCATTGCAGATATGCAGCTACGAGTAGAGAAAAACAAATTTGAACAGATGCACTCAGGAAAAAGGAAGACTGAAGATAAGGCAAGGAAAAGCACAGGCATATCAGCAGCCTAACAGGAATAAATACCAGCAGCCACCAGGTCCCGAATATTGACAGCTATTTCCATTGGGACTAGAATATTCAGTGTGAGGCTTTCACAGCCCTTCAGTAGTTAAATAGCACAACCTTTAGCTTTGTACCTGCTACCAGATGGCAGCATGAAGAGTGCTTTAGAAATAACATAAACTGGAATAGATTAAAAACGCTTCTGGGATGGGTCCAGCACCTATAAATAAAAGCTGTAATCGAGTTTTCTGGGAGCAGAGCTGACAATAGGTTCTCATTCAACACTGAGCTAGCAAATGCAAAAGCCCAACTCCAGAAGCCTGAAGGGCTTGTGCAGGGCTCCTGCTGCACTTATGTACCTCTTTGAACCACAGATATTTGCAAATACAAAAATAAACTGAATTTCTATTCTCTTAGACAGCACAGAAATTATCAATGTCTCGATTATAAAATGAAGTCTAGCGTGTTTGTCATCAAATTTTTCTCACCCTCATTTGAGGTGGATCACGTGTCTCAACATGTTAAAACCAAACGAAGTCACACAGCAGGTAAGTGCTGCTTTCTGCGAAGACTCAGGTTCAAAGAAACCTCTAGCATTAGGAAAAATAAAGTTTTATTTTAGTATAAGGTATCCGCCGTCTCGTGGGCGATTTTAAAATGCAAAACAAGGGGTTGCTTCTCCAAGGCCTGGGAGACACTGCAAGATCAGTGGTAAGAAGGGGAAAATATGTAAAATCTTCTCCTAAACAGTATAATCATGAAAGAAATGTAGCATCCCAAGGCCATATTTAGAGGATCACTGATTGACTGTCCTGATGCTGCAGACAGCGTATGACAGTTTTATTTCAACACTGAACCTGTTTGCTTCCTCTCAGGCAAGCTTTCAGTAACTTACTTGGCACAAACATTGCATTTTAGTTGTTTCCATATAAAAACAATATTTTATTTCAGTGAAGAGCATCCATTAGTAATGATGACAGCACCATTTCTGGTAAAGAACACCACAACACTGTAACTTGCAAGCCTCAAATCCACACCAAGGTCCCCTTTCAGGGAGTTCAGTTATCATTTACCACTGCTGTCAGGATTGTTTAAAAGCAGAGCCTTTAAGCAACCAGCAATCAGACACAGCATGATCTTGCTTTCCAAGACAACCTCCCAGACAAATAAGGAGGAAAAAAAAAAAAAAAAAAAAAAAAAAAAAGACAAACCAAAGGGACAGAAAAAATATAAACAAAGGAAAAGAAAGCCAGGTTGATGATGTTAGAGATTTCACTCTCCTCCTTATACCTGGAAAGGCAAAGAGCCTGGTTTGCTTTTGAGCTACTCGGATCAAAGACATAAGCCTATCATATAAATGACACTCGCTGGGAAATATTAATCACTTTCTGAATAAAAACTCTACTGTACACAACCTTTGTGTGTAAAAGAATAGCAGAAGTTGCCTTTTGGTCTAACGTACCTGCATCTCTTTCCTTTTCTCCGATCTCTCAGAAGTCTCCCTAGGATATTCTACACCCGTTGCTGTGCTGCTCCACTTGTCCCACTTTTCCAAGCGATTTTTCTGCTTATCAATGGTACAGTAAAGCTGGGACAGGCGCGGTGACACATGTACCCTTTCGTGTCCAAAGGCCCTGACCAGCCTGGCGGTGTCAATGGTGGAAATGGAGCTGCTGCCCTCAGTCTGAGTGGTAGTTTCTGTCTCCGTTTGGGTCATCGTCTCCCACTCAGAGGTGCTGGACGTGACCACGGTGCCGTGATCTTTACTGAGCCTCGTCTCTGAGGAAACGTCACTAGGAGTTTCCAAGTACTGCTGTTGCTCCAAAATTTTATCCATGTGACAGATCGTTTTCTCTCCTGTCCTATTCTTCCTGAACTCGGCATGGCTATTTTTACCGTGGTTGATACGTGTTCTTTCTTCACCGTGTGCTGCATTAGGCTCTAAGATACTTTCACATGTGTTCTTTTCCTGAACCCTTGTTTTCTGCTGCTCTCCTCCCTTACTTTTCTTTTCAGGAACATTTTTTCCAGGCTCTGTAGGTATCAGTGTGTGCTTAATGGGGTTCTGAAGGACCCTAGCCAACCGATCAAGGCGTTCAACAAGGGACAGCTCTCCATCCCTCCTACAATTGTGGTGCTGGTGTCTCCTCTGGCACTGCAGAAATTTAGACCAGAGCTCATCTAAGCTACCACTGGAATGGGTTCTTCGCTTCACCAACAGGTCTCCCTCCAGATTCTTGTTCATGCCAGTCATTTCAGTCTTCTTTTGTTCTGCTTCTCCTCTGGCATGTTGAAACAGCTCCTTTCCTGAAGTTCCATTCCCTGTGGACATATTAACTCTTATATTTTCATCTGTAATCTGCTTCTGCAGTCAGGGGCAGGAATTCATTTTCATCCTCCTTCCTATGATGAGCAAAGGAAACTCGCTGATGGGGATTTGTCTTTTTCCAGGTCTGGAAGGAAGCGATGGAGGAAGGTGCACCGTGTCCCGTGCCAGAACACTCCTCGCTGTTGGACAGCGAGGAGCTGTCATCCGTGGGCACGGGAGGATGAAGGTAGAACTGCGCAGACCCAAAGGTGGAATGACTGGTTTTTACAGGTTTCAAATGATGCAGGCACTCTAGAAGAAAAAAAAAAAATGTATATGTATTTTTCTGTTCCCTTACATCTAAGTAAGTAGCAAAAAGGGAAATACTTGTCCTAAGACTCCCCAACCACTTAAACAGGAATCACTTTGCCATTTCCTGAAATGCAATTATTTTTAGAATAAAGTCTCAGCAGTAACAGCACTGCATGAATAATATTTTCTATCGTTTGCCACATACAATCCAAGAGAATATTGTACCCTGCTGAATCTGCAGGAGGAAGCAGAGTTGCTGTATGTAATTCCTCAGGCTCTAAGTGAGACAGCGTCTTCACCTGTGTTGATGGCAAGTCAGTGTCAGGCAGCCCCGAGTCCATTCACCTCTTCACTGGAGCGTCCAGGGAGAATCAGGGCCCCCTAGGACTACACCAGGACGTGTCTGGGGTTATTCCTCCCCAGGTGCAGGACCTTGCACTTGGCCTTGTTGAATTGCATGAGGTTTTTCACTGCCCAGTTGTCCAGTCTGTCCAGGTCCCTCTGGATGGCAGCGCAGCCCTCTGGGGTATCGGCTACTCCTCCCAGTTTGGTGTCATCAGCAAACTTGCTGAGGGAGCACTCTGTGCCTTCATCCAGGTCACTGATGAATAAATTGAACAGGACTGGACCAAAGACTGACCCCTGGGGGACCCCACTAGCCACAGGCCTCCAACTAGACTCGGCACCGCTGATCACCACCCTCTGAGCTCTGCCATCCAGCCAGTTACTAATCCACCTCACTGTGCACTCATATTGGATAGATAGATATAGATAGATAGATATTGGAAAGATCCAACCCTGCTTTGCTTTTAACATCATATAAGCAAGCTTAGTCAAAAGTAGCAATAAAATCCTTCCAGAAAATCTGAAGCTATCAAGGACCACACATAGAAACTTAAATACAAACTTATTTGTAACAGGCCTGAGGTACGTGCAAATGGAGCATGTGCAAGCAGGACCATACTCTAAAATCATTCTATAAAATCCTTTGTTGTAGGTCATATATGTTTCATATCATATTCCTTGTATAACGACTTTAATTGTATAAAGATCTGTAAATGCTGAAAGCAGAATTAGAGCTGTTAGTGCCAGAAGGACACCGAGGTCTTAGGCTTATTGTAAGCTATCCTTCTCCTATGCCATTTCGCTCAAAAAGTAGTTTAAAAGATACACTAGAAAATATTAATAGCCTTAATCTAAATAAAATAGTGAATAGTGAATAAAATAGTCCATTTACTAATGGTGACAGCAACTAGGTAATGGGGAGCAATCAGCGAATGCATATTGATCAAGTGCCATTTACGACATGGATCAGATTCAAATCATTTTTTCTCCTAGCTTTGCAACATTCCTCTCTTTTCTCCTTCAAGGAGTCTTCTCTTGTTTTGCTCTGGGATTGCAATCTACTGAAAGGATCAATCTAGAAACTTGATTTTTTTTTCTTTTTGAGCTAGTCTTTGCCATTGATTCAACACAAGGGCAGTGAGCAGGTCCCACAGTCACACCTCTGCCTCCCCCAGGGAGGCAACATCCCTTTCCTCCTCCAAAATCACGGGTTGAGGCATTATTTGTAAAACCTCAAGGTCCCAATGGGAAAACATAACGCAGGATAAATACAAGAGAATATGATAGAATTGTGTCAGTTTGGTTAACACTGCTTCATAAAACTTACTTTTAATTTGCCACTGGTTTTCCTTCTATTTTAAGCACCTCTTTCCTTTCCTTTCTCAACAGGGACAATGTTAGTATCATCCCAAGATTACAAATAGCCCCTCCAGGCTCAGAGTTACTAGGACTGGGTCTGCAGGACTTCGTCCTTACCTACAAGGTCAATATTTACACACCCATGAAAGAAGATTCCTTCATGTCCTGCTGCCTAGGGAGACTGGGCTTGGGAACACTGTGCAGAATTTTTGCTATTTAAGTATTTTAATAAAATTACCAATAAAATAGAAGAGATGCAAGCACAGAAAAAAAAAACAAAATAAGCTTCTATAAAGAAACAAGCAAAAAACATAACTCGCATAATTTTAAGCTCTAGACAAGCTCTGTGGGTAGAAGCAGTCTTTTATTAGACCAACTAAAAATACAGTTGGAGAAGTCAGAGAAATTTTGGATATGCAAGCCTGGGTTTAGATATGCAGGCCTAGGCTTTCTTCAGAGCACTTGTTTAACCTTCCTGCTATACTAGCTGGTCTGGCAAAAGATTCTCTCTGCTTACAGGACAAATTAGATAGTTTTATCATCAACGCTTGTGTTCCCATGGCATTTATATCAGGGTATTCAGACAGGTATCCATCAGCTCCAATATGGCATTTTATTTCTATACCCAGATTCTTAAGACCTCATTTCTATACTCAGATTCATTCCTACACCCCCACTTTTTTCACCTCTACCCCCATGGCATAAACACTGTATTCTGATTACCCTGAGCAAATTAAGAAAATGTTTTCTATCCTTCTCTCTCTGTATCCTCGCATTTTATAAATGTTCACAGAGAATTATTTCTTCTATAAGAAAAACTATGTTAAGACAATATTGTCTTTACTATTGCACAAACTCAACCACTGATCCCACAAATATGTACTGAAAAAGTAAAACAAGCTAATGTAAAGTTTTATCTGTTTTAGACTATCAAATGTTTTAAATTATCTTCTGGAAATATTAGAAATATATAGCCATTCTGAAGTGAAAAGTTTCAAAAAACATCTCCTCTAAAGTGCAGAATTAAAGTCAGCAAAAGGTTTCGCTATGGATACATCAGCGTAGCTCCAAAAAGTGACCTTAATGCAGGCACATTGTGCTGGCTGCTTAAAAAAGGACACAAAAAGTCATAGGGCAAGTTCATGTGATGCTCAGAAAAATAAACAGGCTCCAGAGAAATTGCATATATGACTGCCCATAGCAGTATAGGAACTCTCCAATTCAGGGTCTATTAGGCTGCTTGGATCTTTCTAGTGCCATTTCTCATTAATGGCCATAATGATATTACCTCCTTGCAGCTCTTTGTTTAATAAAGGCAAATAGTTCAAATCCCTGTACTGGGCAATAAACCTCTCTCACCCAGTCTCCTACTCGCAGTTACTTCTGCCCAGGAACCAGACGATGCAGTTCTCACCAACCCCAACGTATCCATAGTCCAAAATGAGGTCTAACCATGTCCATCAGGAGCAAATTTGGCTACACCATGGTATACAGTGTCAAAGTTACCAACTATCTCAGTATAATTTTATTTTATAGCAAAAGGCAGCACTGTCCTAAAGTAGGTTACTGCAGTAATAAAACCCGACCTTCACCCCTCAGCAACAGCATCCAGCAGGGCTAATGGAAGGACGAGATACCTTGGTCAATCAAATCAAGACTTGGGTAGAACATAAGAGATACCTGACGTGGCATCATAAGGTAACAACACAAGCCCTATCAAATAAATACTGCCATCCTATCTGCTTTCATTCATCATGGGATTTCTGTCATTTTCTATATTTGCATCATTTTCTACACTTAAAAATAACTTTGCACTTCACAAACTTAATATTGGTGCCTTAAACCATCTTAGAGAGGCTCTGTTAATTGTCAGGGTCACTAGAATGCTAGCAAGTACTAACACCTAAGTTTTTTTAGGGCTGAGCAACAGAAAGGAGGGGAAGAGAGTAAAAAAGGGAGAGTCAAATTTAGTATCTTCAGACAGAGTATCAGCAGATCGTGAGCCTGTAAATGACAGTTCCCAAAATCTAGCTCTTCTGCTCTATTTTTTTCCTGCTTGTGGAAAGCAAAGCCAAACACACACTTTAATTACCTGGGGCAACCTCCAGTGGCATCATTTTCCTCTCAGTCCAGGCTAGCTTGGGCTTGGCCTTTTTACTATAGATTCCTTCTTTATGCTTAATAGCTATACTGCCTGGAGGATTCTCGTCCCTTCCACCAAGCACATCAGCTGGGAAGCTTGGAGGAAAAGCATCATTTGATCCTGCAGAAAAAGCAAGCAACAGTAGCAGGTAAAAGGAGGAAGCAAGAAAGACAGATACACACATTTCACAAGGACTGTCTGAAAGGCAGATCTGTGTTCAGCTGTTAGTGGCAGTATATCCACCAACCGC